TTCCTCTTGAACATATACATGGTATTCATTGCTCTGGAAATTTAGGATTTTCTTCATATCAATTCCTCTCTGGATAGAAAGCTTTCACAATCGTAGCCATCCATGTCTGTCCTCAGGCATGGCGGTGCCTTCTTTCAAAGACGGCTCACCAAACTATATACAGATACCAAATCATCCTGCGAGAATGTTTCTAGCGCATCAAAGGCCAACGATGATCCGGAGCTCGTGGCATTGAATTGCAATTTCCGGACCCAAAAGGATAGGCTCCTGGCATGGGGCTTGGATTGGAGTGATGCGAGCGCCGCCCAACCCAATGACATCGATGAGGCTCTGAGTGAGGCTGGCTTTTCTGACGTTGTCGCGAGTGTCATGTCATCTATCCAGGAGCTTTTGAATGAGGCGGAGAGGCTCCAGCAACCGGATGGTGTCAAGTCTCTTGATGGGCCCGGGACGGTTTGCCCGTTCAAGACCTCATGGACTCCAGAGGAGATTGCGCGGTCGAAGGAGTTGTTGGAGGAGTTGACGCAGCATATCGAGACACTATATGATCTCTCGCGGTCGCGAAGGAATATGAGCATGAGTATGAGCAGTGCGAATGCGAATTCCCAATCTGGTTTAAAAGGCCAATATCGGCCAGCGCTGTCAAAGTCATCAAAATCGTCCAAGGAATCGTTTTATTCGCTTTGGAATGAACCTGGTCAATCAATGGATAAAAAGCCGCTGCCAACATCGAAAAGGGTCGTATCGCAACCCCAGCCTGAAGAACTTGGAACCGACCCTCTTGTGGGTTTCCATGCCGATACATTGGCTGATGCGTCTACAGTTGATTTCCCGAAGACTTTTCCTGATTCTTTTCTTCCAACTAAGCATTTCTATATTGATAAATCTGCCCTTCATCTGTCGTATGTCGGAATTTCTCATGCTTCCAATCCTCCTCCATATGAAGCGGTTGCAGAATCTGCGAATTCTCGAGTCATTGGACATTTAGATGTCCCTGCGATGCCTCCTGCGCTGGCAACGCTTGTGAAAGGACCAATTGTGCCAGTCCTCGTGGAATTCTCGCCGATGATGATGGGACAACCGAATTCTCTTATATTCCCTCGCAAAGAACGACTCGTTCAATTATCAGAGACCCTCCAGCGCTTAGTCGAAAACTCACGTGTATCTCATCTCGGATTGCTCAAGTTTGTTGGCTATTTTATCGATATGACTTATTCCCGTTATGCGTTCGTTTACCAGGTTCCGCTTGAAATCTTTCCACTACTAAGACAACCCTCGGATATCCTGAGGGATGCCAAACCTCGACCCCTTGTATCCCTGTTTCATTCTGGAGATAACCGACCGGACTCCCCTATCCCGAACCTTGAAAGTAGGTTTCGTTTAGCATATCATCTGGTTCTTGCGGTTCTTCATCTCAGAAGCCAAAATATCGTACATGGGAATATAAACAGCAACAATATTTTAATATTCCCTGATTTTCGGGTTTCTAATGAAGGGTTTCTAAGAGATTCGAGTTCCGAGTTCAGCCATCCATACCTCACGTCGCTCGCTCAGTTCGATAGCGAAGACAAAAATGCTGTTCCAGAACCCTTATCAGCCAGCATGTACCGCCATCCCGACGACCGTCGTGTTATTACTGACAATTCTTCATGGGCATATGATCTCTATAGTTTAGGCTTGGTATTACTTGAGATTGGGTTGTGGACGCCACTCAGTAAACTTTGGAAGATGAAGTACAACAACGCTATGTTCAAATCACGAATCGAAAATGTCTACGTCAAAAGACTCGCGCCAAAATGTGGAAATTCATATCTACAAATGGTACAGCTTTGTCTCGATGCTCCCAACTTCCACCTTTCAACGGAACCGATGGCAGATTTAGGACTAAGGATTCAACAAACCTACCACTACCCATGGCATGATCCGAGTGCATCTGATGAGTGGAATACGTTTTCCAAAAATTTCGTTTACGCAATTGGCAAAGTCACTTGGCGCTGTGCTTGCCTAGATGTTTTCAATCCACCGCCAGCTTCAGATTTAGATGAGTGTCTTCCTCCACCTCTCATTATTGAGCCATCCAGTTCGACAAGGAAAGAGGTAAACTCTTATAATACTGGTACTCAGCTGGATGTAACCCTACCTATTGGTCCGGAGGGTGGTGGGACAACCTACGGTGAATCGAAAGCATTACAAGAGAAGTGTACTGTTAACGAGAAGAAATTCCGCAAACGAACGTTCAAAAAATGGTCGAATGTCGAAATACCTGATGAAAATTTACGGGAATGGAACACGACACTTATGCCAAAGCTTAGCAAACTTCTTCAGAAAATCCTAAAGGACTCGTCCGAATCCTGCAGTGCAACATTGATGATAGCTGGGGAAACTGCAGAAACCGCGAAGACAACAATATGCGTCACCTGTACCAACATTCGCAGGGTTCGAGCGGCTCTTAAAAAGTACTTCGACTTTGATCGAGAAAACTGGGATCTCATTGTGATTCGGGGAGATGTTACGAGGTCAAAGGTTCCTCGCAGAAGACGCAGAAAACCGAAACGGAATAACTGCCCTGCTGCTGATACCACCCAAGCTGACTTGAACCCACACTATCAGCAAAAGCCTCTCTGTGGAGCGTCAATTGGAGCATTTCGACTTGACGAACATTTACCTCCCGTTTCCTATGGAGGGGCCATTCTTGTTGACGGCATGCCCTACGGAATGACTGTTCACCACATGCTTGATGCTCCCTGCGATGACGACGAGGATGATGACTTGCCTCCCCGCTCGTCAGGCAACTGGACTCCGGGAACCGAGCCTTTTGACGAGGGCTTCTCTTACTCTTGGCGTGGTGAAGACCTACCTGAAACCCTTTATCCCTTTGAAATATCTGACGGCGAAGAAGATGGAGATGAAGGATCCATTGCACCAAGCATTGATGAGTCATATGATGACTACTGGCTTTCAGATGGATATTCTACAGATGACGCGGATGAAGACCCTGACGACGACGATGATTCTGATGCCGCATCTATCGGAGATACTGCTGGAGTAGATCCTGGAGAAGAGCCTAGGATAATTGTCACTCAACCGGCGATTGATGATGTGGAAGACGGTTTTTTCCCATCCTATGAAGACCGTGACGACGAACACCTTGCCTCGCATTCTCTAGGATACGTCCACGCCTCGTCGGGAGTCAGGAGATGGACACGCAATGGCATAAAACACGAAGTGGATTGGGCCCTTATCAAAATTGGCGAGAATCGGATGGAGGTCAATAATGCGATACTTACGAACGTTCATACGTCAGAATCAAATAGCTCCCTCAACTTCGGTCGTCGTGGCCCTCAAACGCAACAAGGCCTCAAAGCGTTATTTGCGAAGCTAGACAAGGTCGCCAAGTTAGAGGATCTGGCGGGCTTGTATGTGCAATGTTGTGGCAGGACAAGCGGCTTGCAAAGTGGACGAATTTCCAAAGCAATGAGTCTTGTAAAGATGCATGGGCGCCAGTCGTTCTCTAGCAGCTTTAGTGTCGATGGGAATTTTGGAGGTACGGCTCTCCCATCCCCAATTCCTAACAACTCAGCATGCTCCCCCACGCCCTTTCTAAATTCACACCAACACTCACTCACCTATCTTTAGTTCCCGGCGACTCTGGGGCCTGGGTCTTCGATAAATCCACCGGTCAAGTATGTGGACACGTCCTCGCATGGTCAGAAAAGAGCCGAACTGCTTACATCGCCCCGATGGAGGTTCTCCTAGACGACATTGCCCGTACTCTAGGTGCCACCAGCGTCACCCTTCCCGGAAGCGAGGAGGCACTGGAATGGACCTGCAATGCCAATAACACGCGGGCAGATGATGTTTCGTTTGGTGACAGCCGCTTACCAGCAGTTGCATCCCAATCTCACATGAGGAAAAGCTTGAGGATGACCCACCACGAAATGGACCAGCTTCCGGTCGAGCTAGGAAGACTAGGTATTGATAGAGATGAGCAGACACGAAGCCGAGGGGGGATGAAGGGGTTAAGGGATGTCCCAACCTCCGCGTATGGTGCTGTTTCTCCGTTGATGCGTCAACCGATTACGATGGAGAGACAGCTAGCATGATAGTGCAGTGCAGTGTTTGAACACTGTTTTTTTGAGTGGTTTTAAACATATGTCTTGTATTTCCGTTACTTTGATACCCATCTGCTGGATTTGCATATATATATTTCTATTTATATGAGAGAAGAGAAGGTATATTTAATTTAATTATCTACATTGACATTTTCCAGTTTTTTATAACTTTCTTCTACAAGATTGCTTGATTGGTTTATTGAGCATCTCTAAATTCATCACTTGAAAGTTTGGATTGTTTTACGTAGTCTCTGCTTCTATGTTCTTGTATTGTATTTTGTATACTTGAGCATATTATACCAATTATTAATATCAAATATGTGTGTGAATTCAAATATTCACTTTCCAATATCTGTAACAGATCTTGCTGGTATACAGTGATTAATGCTTTTAAGTCTGTCAGTTCTCGCTTAAGAAAACGGACGTAGGCGTTATATATGAAACGCGTATGAAACATGGGCGCTATCACTGATCTTAGACATGTTGAACAATAATAGACATTATTGATTAGAAGATGTTTGTCTATCTACCAATCAAGGAAATGTCTAAAAGCAGGTATTGTAATAAAATATGATTAATTACATGATCAACACGGGGAAAGTAAAGGGCGATTGCAAAAGAAATCTAAGGTCCATCGAACGTTTACAGGACTATGTCGATGAATGAAGAAAAAGGAGAAAACAAAATAACTCAAACAAAAAACCATAACAAAGTACAAGAGCAAAAGGAAAACCCCAACAATTCAATAGCAAAACCACCATACACTCCTACACCCCAAAAGATGAAACCAAATAATATTCGTGTGGTTGTTGAAATCCCTTAGTCTGCGAAACATGACGAGAAAGCCTGAAGTTGCAAGCAACATATCAACTCGCTCAATTCTACCCATCAAGGCGACCCCAAATATTTCAATACAGCCTCCCTTTCCTCCACGGGCAGCATGCTAAGTACCTGCTGCACACCTCTCAACCCACCATCCTTGTTCCCCATAAGTAACTGGGCAACTTCAACTGCAACTCCATCAACCTTCATCTGCTCAACATTCTCCAGCACCTTCTTTTTATTCTCCTCGTACCACAGAGCAACCTTGCGATCATTGAAGTCGAACTCCCGATCCAGCATTCCAGTCCACGATTGGAGAGTATTTAGATTGGCATCACGTCTTGACGGCGTGGCGGGTTTGAGGGGGGAAGAAGGGCTGGTGGCAGTAATGTTCGGGACAGCGCTATTGCGTGAAGTAGTCGAAGGAGCGGCTGCAGCCATGCGTTTGAGAATGAGTTCCTCGCTGAGACGGCGACGGAGACGCCAGTAAAAGAACCGCCGGGCATTTTTCCATTGGAGGGCTTGGCGGATGGTTTCTTTGGCCTTCATGCGGCCGGCGCGGTCGTGGAGGTCGGCAAATTGAAGGGCGATTTGCATGTAGACTGGCAGGAGTTGTTCTTCTCTTTCGGTCATCTTGGCTTTGATCTTGGAAAGTTGGTCAGCGGGGAGGAATTTATCGTTGAGTGCTTTTCGAAGCTCGCCGTATTCCGGGTCCAAACGGGCCATGGTATCCAGCTGCTTATCGCGACGGTATTTGATATTGACGATGCCTTCTGGCTCAAGGACACCGCCGCGGGACTCCTCATCAGCGTACATTTCCATTTGTTCTGGATTGATGGTGGGATCGATCACAACCTATTGCAATGGATTAGTATATTTAAAGAAAAAGAACACAAATAAAGTGTTTTAAGGACTTTCAACTTACCCAGGAACCACCACGCAGTTCTCCAAATGGCGGGATATAAACAAAAACAGGTTGCTGGTATTTCACAAGCGCGTCGACAATATAAGAACCGTACTTTAGTACTTCGTTGTACATGTCTCGTTGACCACCAGAGAACCCTCTCCAGTTAGCAAGAATCATCACAGGAAGCTGTTCGCCAAAGTTAAAATCTTTGAGAGCCTGGGCGGTCTTGAATGCAGAATTTGGATACCAAACTCCACCAGCTTCCGTGGAAATCAACTCCATTGAATCTGGATTGGCAGGGTCGGCAGGTGTGACAGTGTCGACAGAGCGTGTCTCCACTGCGATGACGCCAATGGGAATTCCACCAAGTCTAGCACGTCCCACAACCACGGTCCTCGCCCATCCAGCAAGTGTTTCCTGAAAGGAATCCTTGTCGAAGAAACCAGGTAAGAAACCCTCTTCATCCTGCTTACCAGCAATGAGCCACCTAACATCGTAAGTTTGCCTGGCTGGGGGATAATATGCAATATCTCGATCCCAAGTGTCGGAATATGGTCGAATTGGGACAGGCGAATTCTTCTTGTCTGGTATAAATGACATCCATTGCACGATCTTCTGAATACCTTCAAAGTCATCATTTGCGGTCATGTGTGAAACACCATTCTTGTACATAATTTGTGTTCCACCCAACTGCAAGTTGGATGTATAGACTTCTCTTCCAAGAAGCTTGTTGATAGCAGGGGCACCAGTGAGGATAATAGGCTGCCCTTCAACTTGAATTGCCCGCTGGCCCAGACGAACGAGGTAGGCGCCAATCCCAACAGAACGACAGGTCACAAGTGTAATCGTGAAGATGTCTTCGTAGGCCTTCGAGGTGGCGCCAGCAATGAGACCAGAGCCTCTCAGGCACTCGACACCAAGGCCGTCTTCTGCACCGATAACAGTGGTGATCATATGTCTTTCCTCACTGTTTTCCGTGACAAGTTCAGTGATGACGTTCTTTGTCTTCCTCTCGTCTAGTCTCTTCTTCACTTCCGGGGTAAGGTAAAGATACTTGAATCCAGCTTCTGGTCGCTCCGGATCATTCCACGCAACAGAGAAGTGATGCATCAGCTCCTCTGCCATTCCGATACGAGCACCGGAGTTGGCAGAAAGGTAGATACGAGGTATCCCAAGCTTCCTAGCAAGCTCAGTGCACTTATGAAAAAATTTATCTTCTTGGGGTCCAAAAGATCCAATCTGGAATGTGATATCGTTGGCGATAACGATGAAGCGCCTGCCACGCGGGTATTCGGGAGTTCTTGCAGTGATCATCCAGCCAACCATCCCATGCGTATTGGTCCCAGGCTCTCGCGCGACCTCGATTAAATTGTCAGAATCGTCAAGCACGAGTTCGTTGTAGTCGATACACTCGCCCACAGCAGGCCGTTTGTCAGCGAGGGAAGAATGCTCTTCACTAGCCTTTGTCCAGCAGTTCTGAAAAGCCTGTCTGAATAGCTCCGGGAAGTCGTAGACGTATTGAGTACCCATTAAATGGGCCTTATATCGTTTGGGTTGCAGCCATTCCTTCGTGGGATACGGTGTTGAAACTGGACGAAGATGCATGGATCCTATTTTTGTCGTGCCACCGATGCTCTGGAATATCCATTCCCCTTTCTCGGACTTTCGCTCAGCATACATTTCCACTTGGATAATGTATCCTGAGGTGTTATTGATGACTACACGGAGGGGATAGGCCATTCCAGTCGTCGGCTCCGTGCAGAGGATACGGATTTCAGCTCCAGTGACGCGGAGGCGCCAGAGTCGTCTACCAAAGCGTTCCAGGAAGCCTGCCAAGGCCCTTTCGACATCAGCCGGCTGAAGGGGAAAAACGGGCGTAAAGTTGATAAAGATATGATTCAAATCAGAGTTGTTATTGCCAATAATTTCCAGAGCGTCCAGGATGTCATTCATTAAGTTGTCAGCCTCAGAGATAAGATACTCCACCGTGGGAATATCATCTCGCAATCGGCCCGGGCGAACAACAGCTCTCGTGAAATATCGCTTATCAACAGCCTTGTCACTCTCCGGTCCCTTTCCAATTGCCTCGTAAACGTGAATATTCCGATTTTCCGTAAAGACAGGCTTAATTCTAAATTTGGAAAGTCTTCCCAATTCCAGTTGGAAGGCAAGCGCAGGTTCGCTGTGTCGAATGCTCTCATCTTCATTGTAAGTAGGTCCTCTGAACGTAAAATAACCAGGATAAGTCCCATCCTTATGCCCACAGATAAATGTAAGTCTTCTCACCCGGCGAGCGAGAAGCTCTTCTTTGACTTCAGAGACAAGCTTGGTAATGCGCGACACCATCTCCGTATCATCAAGATCCTCGATATCACGGATCGCAACGTTGCAAACGCCTGTAAGCTCATCGATGCTTTCAACACGAGGTGTTGGCTTGCGCAAAGCCGCTAAAGATAGGGTAATGGAGCTTCCGCTGCTCTTCTGCGACTCTGCACGGGGAAAAACCTCCAGTGCCCTCGAAAGCATCTCCTCGGCATCATCGAGATAATTAACGGGAATGATAACCCCTTTCCTCATTGGCTCATTGACCCCCTTGTTAACCAAGTATGACATGTCACTAATGGAGCTGATTTTCTTGAATGGATTGCTTTCCATCGTGGGCGTGGTGGGAGTGGACGGGTGAGATGAACCGGCCACCATTCCAAAATCAGATTGACCACCAGCCTTTCCGAGAGTAAAATCCCAGGAAATAAAGAACGGACTCTCATGCTGGTTGTGATATTCGATACCCTTCAATTTATATGCTCGATAGGCACGGCGGACATACACCTCAAGCGCTGCCAGGGATACCCACTGGTCCTGATGCCCGAAGAACAGAGGGAGAACGTCAAAGACAGTGTACTTCGAGTCAACCACTTCTTTCAAGACATTGATGTCAGGCTCTCTATGATCCCAGCCGGTCTCTCCGTATTTCGATTCCACAACTGAAGATCGCAGGATATGTTCCATCTGGGCGACCCTCTCCTCCAGGGATGGGAGAGCGCACTGGATAAGAACTTCGCGGGCCTTCAGCGCGACTTTAGAAGTTGCGCGGGATTCCAGCTCTGCCAGCTTTTTTAGGATAGGTTTCAAATAGTTCCCCACGTTGCCGGCATTCGGTTTGTTGGGGCGATACATATCCAAAATCGCTAAGAGCAAATTGTTCTTCGCCCCGACCTTGCTGTGGGACAAAACCGTTTGTATGACGCCAAAAATGTCATCTTTGTTCTCCTCTCTTAGTTTAAGGATCACATCTTCGTCGCGCATATTTCGGCCTGCGAATAGGTGTTCAACGTCCCAGTACTGTTGAAGAATGCCAATGAAAACTTTATATTCATGGACTTTCAATCCCTCACTATACCGTCGAATGACGTCCACGAGAGGTTGGAGACTTGTGCGGAGAATATCAGCGTCGGCAGGTGTAACATTGTCATCGATGAAGCGGCTAAGTGTCTTCATCAACTGGTTGGCAGGGAATTCCGCCTTTCGCGTCTTGGCTCTGTCAACAACTTGTGCAAGTAGGGAATCGAGCTTCTGTGGCATCCGTGAGTGAAGGGCTGAGACTTGAGCGTTCCACTCTCCATAGGGAAGTTCGGGGTTCCGCAAAACTTCAACCAACTCTTTCAAAGTGGCTCCCATGATGACTTGGTTGTCAAACCCACGGAGAATATCCCACAAGATATTGTGCAGCAAGCCAAATCGTTGGGGAGGCTTATTACCGACGACTTGCGGGGGGCCTAAATCTGGTAACTGCCCAAGGAATGGCTGCGCGTGTTTCACTCTGGATGGATTGTCTAATGCGAGAATACCCAGAATATCTCCAGCTTCGAGAGTAGATCCAGGTTGCTTTATCAGTTGGACAATCCCATCCTCTTTGGCGATGAGTGGCATGTACATCTTCATGACCTCGACCTCAGCGAATGGTTGTCCGGCTTTAACATGCTCCCCGTTTTCCACAGTGTACTTGACCAGCTTTCCAGGGCTCGGTGTGCGGAGTTGTGTGGGGTCATTCTCCTCCTCGAGCAGACATGTTTTGCCATCGACACTCAGACGAGTTGCAGCGGCTTCCTCCTTCCAATAAACATTATGGCTTCGTCCGTCCAAAAGAACAAGCAATCCACCATCAGCAAGAGCACGAACCCCAACGGAGCATTTGGACCCATTAATGAAGAGATGATAGTTATCGTTGCTTGATCTCGTGGCCGTGAATTTATATCGGAATCCTTCGTAAATAAAATCGACGGGGAAAACCGTTTTCAAAACATCTTTGGAAGGCACTTGACCCTTCTCAATGCCCTTCCGGTATTCCGCGATACACGCCTCGCTAGAAAGATGAGCCCTAGTAACAGCTCCGCAGATCACAGCGATCATTGGATCTGGCCGTTCAGCCGTCAACTTATTGGAAATCAACTGATCCAACCAACCAGTCGTGATGGTATTGTCCTCAAAAGCGGGTGTCTCAAGTAGTTTGATGAGATACTCAACGGTTGTCCGGAAATCGCCTCGAATGCTCAACTCCTTCAGTGCAACGACCATGTGCTTTCGTGAAGCAGAGCGATTCTCACCGTAGGCAAAGATATGGCCGAATTGAGAATCGGAGAAGCTGTGAATTCCACCAGCGGTACCAACAGAGAAGTAACCCCAGACATTAGAGCTACTTCGAAAGTTGAGTTCGTGCATTGTTCCGCTGGATGGCTTGAAGCCTTCACCTGGATCTTCGGAAGTGATACGACAAGCAGTTGTGTGGCCTTTTGGTTTCGGTCGGCGTTGAGTCTTGGTACTCTCCTCATTTTCAAAGTGGAAGTCGATTTCGGAGCTGGTGTTGGGATCCACGCCGTAAAGAAGACGAATATCGCGAATGCGGTGCAGCGGAATTCCCATGGCAATCTGGAGCTGAGCAGCTGGGAGATTCACGCCAGAAACCATTTCTGTTGTGGGATGTTCGACTTGCAGACGGGGGTTGAGCTCCAGGAAATAAAACTTGTCATCCGCATGGGAATAGAGGTATTCAACCGTTCCTGCAGAAACGTAGCCAACCAACTTCCCAAGCCTCACAGCGGCTCGCTCCATTGCTCTAAATGTTTCCGGCTTTGCAATAGTGACAGGAGCCTCCTCGATAATTTTCTGGTGCCGTCTCTGTACTGAACAATCACGACCAAACAGAGAGATATTGTTTCCATATTGATCGGCCAATAACTGAACTTCCAAATGTCTCGCGTTACCCGCTAATTTCATGATGAAGATTGGGGATCCGGGAATTTCGCTTGCCGCAGCATTATACAAGTTGATGAAATCCTCTTCTCTATCAACTTTCCGAATACCCTTCCCACCTCCTCCTTCCGATGCTTTGACCATGACGGGAAAACCTATAATCCTAGCTTTTTCAAGCCCTTCTTGCGGAGAATGTGTGCATCCTTTGTCATAAATATGGTCCTCTACGGTCACGATACCATCTTCATCGATTGTAACATCATCTATACCTTCTCCAGACCAAGGAATGCAGGGAACTCCAGCGTGTTGCGCAACGATGGTGGAAGAGATCTTATCTCCAAGAGAACGCATTGCAGAACCGGGAGGGCCAATAAAAATTATCTTTTTCGGAGATGCGGCAAGCGATTCAGGCAGCTTTGGGTTTTCTGAAGCATGGCCCCTGGTTGGATGTTAACAAAGAAAAATCCCGCCCAAAAATCCAATTATATCAAAGAATGTGCCCTTACCATCCTGCCCAAACAGCATGAACACCCATACGCTCCGCAATGTCCACAATCAGTTCTACATTAGCATAATTGTTGTTATTTGTGCCTCCGGGGACCTAAATCATATAATTAGCTATGTGGCTCTATTCGTTTCTCTTATGAAATGTTTCCGTTCGAAGCTTTAGCATTTCTAAATGATGTGGGCGCCTCGTACCTCAACATATTGGTCTGCCATCCGAATATAGTCTGCATTCGCTCTTAAATCCTCCGGTGTAGCCATGACCGTAAACTGAATTGCCCGCTCATCGCCAAATGTATTATAGGCCCATTTTCGGACATCTCGAATTTCTTTGACGGCAGCAATGCCATTATTTGCGATAAGAACCTAAAAATTATACGTAATTGAAATCTGTCAGTATATACATATATTGGTCCGAAGAAAAAGAAGCAATTGGTATGAAATATGAAACTTCTTATCTACAGATAGATCATAATGGAAAAAAAGAAAAAAAAAAAAAACGTAGAAGGGAAGTCAGCGCACCGAAGTAATTACTGAATGGCCATCATTCTTCGCAACAAAGTCCTTCACTTTCCCCGGAGGTGCAAGATCTAGGCGATTGCCTCCGATAAAGTGTGACGGTAAGTTATGTTTCGCTGCGAATGAGCTCCCAAAGCCATTCGTGGCGGTCGCAGGTGTGTCTGTAACCCCCATAATGACGGTTGTGTGAATAGAACTATATTTCCAACTGGCGGTAATGAAGGCGCGCAAAAAGCTCCCTTTGTGTTACTCGTATAAGCGAATGGAATGGAGAGGTTGATGAGGTTGACGTTTTGTCTCTTTGTCGATATGCCGTTGAGCGGTACTTTGTCGAGAACTTTTTTTTGCGCAGTGGTTCCGCGTGAACGTAGATAGGAGGCTGGAATTGGATAATTGGATATTTTTTCTATAACGAAAACCAAAGAGATCTAGCAACTCAACGCCTGATCCCTAAACAATGCGCATTGGCAGGACACAATTACACAACGAGACAGACAATGTGGGGGAGGAGATGAGGAGTGAGTGGTTTTGACAAAGAGGGCAATCTCGCAAAGAATGGAGACGAGAAGGGGGGAAGAGGAACCGATGAAGAGGGAGGAGGAGACCTTGAATCAAATTCTCACAGGAGGAAGAAGTGAAGTGGAAGAAGAACAGGGCTCTCAGAGGACGAGGGAGAGGGAGAGGACGAGGGAGAGAAATTTGGCTGACCAACAACTTACTACTACTTCTACTACTACTAGTTAACTGACTAACTAGTAACTAAGTTAAACTGACGAAAATAACTGCTTAATATCTACGGAGCACAACCAACATCGGGGTTTGCAGGCAGGCGCTGCCTGCTGCGTAATATGGTACGGACACGTCTCGAGTGGGCCCGCACAACCCAGGTACCACTACGCATAAGCTCCTAAGGAGGGTACTTTTTAAAGTTACCAATACGCGATTTCCCGTAGCACGAGAACTTTCAACTTCAACCCTTTTAGAGGAAAAGGAAGCAGTCTTCATATCAGCAAAAAAGACCGGATCGATATATACAAAGTACTCTGTTAAGAGGGTTCACTGAATGCTGAATAGCACATCTATCACTACATCCCCATCTACGCTGCAACCTTTCAAACCTCGAAGAGTTTGTCTTTGTAAATAATCCTATTTCCCATCCGCCCCAGCTGTCACAAGTCCCGCATCCGTCCCATCTTTAACATTGTGACCAACAACGTTGAATTACCGGGTCGCCTTGGCCCATGTCAAGCCCTCATCCCCAAACCAAGTTTGGCTTCGGAATTTCCAAGGTTGGCACCTTTGTTTTACCGTTCTTTGGCATATTCCAAGATTTGAACCTTCTTGTTCAGGCTATGAATTAAAAAAAGCAGTTCCCAATATCATCAGTCATTGGCGTGCGTCTTCATGTATAACGACCAACAAAACAAGAAAATTCCTGATATGGCTTTGATGTAGCTTTTACCAGAAGAAAATCACACATTCCAGACCATTCAGTGGAGGGGGAAGGGGGGAGGAGCAATGATAAGATTAACAATAAATTCCCACCTCTCTCTCGCCCGACTTTCCTCTCTGGAACATGTACGTGTATAAATTACATCCGCAGAGTTTTTTGGAGCCGTTGGAGTTGTTGAGCTCTGGCATGCGAAAGAAGATGACGTTGGCCCCATCACAACCAGGACGCTAAGAAGCCAATGGTTTCTTTGATTGGCTGCGCTTGGCTGTTCTGTACTGGTTTGTCCCGTTTGCATCCCCCAACAAATTTAGTTGGACTTAACTAAGGTAAACACCTGGTTGGTTGGTTAGTTATAACCGACTACTTACTTCATCTACATTTATAACCACCCCTCCAATTACGCAATGTTTAACTGCAAATTTAATTAATTTGTTATTCAAACATGTAGACCTGCTGCTGCTTTTCGAGCCTTAATTCCAGGTCCACATATTTATTTTCTAATCTCTAAAATAGTGTCTTTTTTCTAAGTCTTTTTGATTTTTTCTATAAGGATACTTGGTGTCAATGAATTAATAATAATTATTATTATTCTTCATTTAAGAGATGTTTAGTCAGAGACTATGACATCTATCTAGTTATATTAGAGTTTAACTATTTTGTTAATTTAATTATCAAATATCATCTAAATTATATAATTAAAAAGTTTTATTTTAGAATAATATAATATTTAGAAAACTTATAATATAAAACAAATTTATATAATTATAATTTTAATTAAAATAAAATCAAAATCAATCAGCATCTCAACTAACTAAAATATTAAAATAAAATAAAAATTTAATGAAAGTAATACTGAACAAATAGAATATTTATTCAAAAATAAAATAATATTTTAAATTTAATATTTATAATTTGTATATATTAAAATTTTTATTTAAATATAATTTTATATTTATATTATTATAATTAATTAAATTAATATTTTTATAAATAATAAAATTATAAATAAATTTTTATAAATTTTTATTTTTTTTTAAAATTTATCAAAAATATAACAAAAATTTATAAGTATTTTAATTATTTATATAATTAATATTTAAAATACTTTTAAAAAAAACTAAATTTTAATTTATAAAAGTTATCAAAAAACTTTTCAGTTAATATTAAAATTTTATATATATATATATATATAATAAAGAAGAAGTTAAGAATTTATTTTTATATAAATTTTAAAATTAAGTTAATAAAAAATAATATATTTTATGATAAATTTTTTATTTTTAAAATTAATATTTAATAGTTTATTTGATAAAAAATTTATATAAATTAATATATTTTCTATATTATATTAATTTTCTTTATAAAAAATTTAAAAAAGATATATAATTTTATATTAATTATTATATACTTAATTAAATTATTAAAAAAATTAATATTTATTTTTTTATATATAAAATATTTAAATAAATTAATAAGTTAAATAATTTATAAATTTTACTATTTTGATTATTTTTTATATATAATATATATTATTTAAATTAACTTGACTTTTTTAATTTTATGAATATTTTAAGTATATTTTAAAAGATATATTAATTAAACTTTATAAGATCTTTTAATAAAACTGCTTCAGTACATATGAATGGTATTTTAATCTTCACTGATAAGATTTAAACATAATATTGAAAGCATATTCATCAGATACTCATATAACTTTAAGAATCTAAGCTAAAGGCTGATATAAACAAATATTACTTTGAAGTAAAATTCACAATCTATTTTGACTTTATCATTGAAGTTGGCAGAGACGTACTCTGCACTTACAATTAAAACTATTTGCTTAGATTATTCTTTTTCTAATTTGTATAACCGGGTTCATCTTTGTAGCTTTCATTTTCTTTCCTTTTCTCCTTCTAATGAATTCGTCTTTTTGTTTTAAAAGAAAGTGCTAGGGCTGTATTCAGTAGCGCGCCCATACATTGAAAGAATGAAGTGCTTCTTTTAATACTTCTCTTCTTCTTTAGCTGGTTTTCCCAGTTGATTCTGTACCTTGTACTTTGCAGTTAGGCCTATTGTTGTATAATAGTTACTGAGCACTTCTCATAGTTAGCAACCTTGGCAATCAACAAGCTTGCCATTCTGTCGTCACATGCTTGAAATCACACAATATATCTCCATCTGGCCTCCCTGAACAGCCCTCTACTTTGCCAGGAATCTTCCACTCTGTGTGTGAATTAGGAAGTAGGTTAGTTGGTAGTTAACCAAAATAACGCTTCCTCATTTTTGCTATAAAGATAGTGGAGAAAACCATTTAAGCATAAAAACTAGCGTTCAAAGTAGGAGACCCACAAGCTTGTGTTAGTTATTTATATAGTTATAACGAACCATCTTAGCCCCTCGTCTCTTTTCATTGTTTGCTGGCTGGTTATGACCAAAGGGTATAGATATTTTGTGCAGTAAGGAGTCCCTTCTCTACGGTCAAGAGGTTAATTTGGTTGGTGTCTTGGGATATGATGTATTGTGTGAATCATCTTCTTACCACGGGGGGCGTTCGGTGACCGAAGTAGCTTGTTTATCTGCGGGTCACTTGGAAATGCCAAAAATGCCTCGATATAGCATTAGCTGGAGAGAATATTACAACGGGGAGGAAATAAATATTTCGAGAATGTTCTTGATAAATTAGAACACTGTAGTTGCTTGGCGTTGGATGAAAGTCACAACTAGTCGACACTTAGCACAGGCTTCGAGCTGGATTTCTTAAAACGGTGTTGGACAGGGTTAAGGAGAGCCCAACCCAGGCCTAAAACTGGACGTGACGGGAGATATTAATTTTCATAAAGCTGAGCATACGTAATTACATCTAGCGACAGACGGAGTAACAGAGTTTAAAGGTTTGTTTAGGTACATGAGATTTATGTAAGGTTCATCACAGATTTATCAGAGGAGTATCAACGTGAGAAAAGAAGGACGGCAACATATCGAAGGGAGCGTGTCATGAACAAATGAGGGGATCATTAATCGGAGGTTAGGGTAAGTTAAGAAGACAAAGTGTGTTTGAGTAGTAAACGATTAAGGGTCGAGGACGATGGTCTGGGGGGTCGTCTCTCATGTAGGATGGAGGACGGGGTATTTGAAAGAGAGGAAGTGACTAAAAGGACACTAAGGAAATGAAGGTAGAGTCATGATTGCAGGTTGGATGGAAAATGGGTGTGTCCTTAGCTTTACCCCATGTTATATTATCGTATCGGCCATCTGGGAGACAAAGAGCCAATAATATAAACCCGACGCAAACCAATTGAAAAAGAAATGAGCAGTAAAGAGCAGAAAAAACCTGCTCAAGAACTTCAAAAGGGGAGGGAGGAAAAAAAAATCGCCAAGGCACTCCGAGATAAAATGCTAGCCGTTAAGATACCATAGAACCGTGACCGTGAATCGAAGCGTTGGATATCACAAAAAATGTATTGAATAATGATGTCATGCTACATGCAAAAAAAAAAAAATACGTAAAAACTGAAGAAACAGCGAAATCAAGAATGGGCAATGGCTAGTAAGTCTCGCCTACTTCGCTTAGTTTATTTTTTCTCTGGGGAGGCCCCATATCCCCATCTCGTCGATCGAGCCCGGCGCTAATGCGACGCGGAGCTGGTAACATAGAAGGGGGAGGAGGAGGGTTGGCAATTACTCCCGACTCCCGTTTCTTGAAGCTTGACGGGGTAGGAATTCCAGAAGCCGCATTATCGGCCTTGTCAAACGTGCTGCGCCGTGGGGTGGGGGTTGTAATATCCTCATTCTCATCGATATGAGACATACTCATCGAATGGCTGTAATTGCTCAGGGATGATCTGGGTCGTCGACTTCCCGTCGTTAGATTGCTTGAGTAGTGTCCAAGTGGTGTCCTTGAGCTAGTGAGGCTTTGGCGGCTTTCAGAGCGCGATTGAGGGATTGAGCTTATCGTGGGAGCGGGTAATTGGCTAGTTGAAGTGCGACTGGATATACTCGCTCTACTGCTGGGCCTGCTACTATCACCCTGGACAGAACGGCACGGAGTTCCCTGAAACCCGAATGAACTCCTACCCTGAGGACCAATGGAGGGTGTCGATTCTCCGTCACGAGAGCTGGCAACGCTTACACCTCCACTTGTTCGTTTCCTGGAGGCTCTTCGGACAGTTACTGAAGACGGAATGTAGTTCTGGCCCAATGCTGAGTTGGGTCGGGGAGACACTCTAGGAGGGGTCTCAAGTGGTGCAGGGAGTCTTGATCTTGCAGATTGTACTCGTTCCTCAAGTTTTTGCATCTTGCCAATGAGTCCTCGAATTTGATACAAAGAACCAGACCGTGGCAGCACTGGGATTTGAGTAAGGCTGGGGCGTGCTATGGAGCCGCGAGGCGTGAGAGACGGCGTCGAGGTACCATTGCTAGTGGGTATGGAAGGGCCCCGGGAATGTCTGGTCCTGGTTGATTGGAATGGAGGTCTCGATTCCGAAATAGAGACTCGTGGTCGTTGGACACTAGGCGTGGGTGTAGCTTTGGGAAGAGTGCATGAGGACTCCGAGAAGGGAGGTGAAGGCGGTGTTTGAGCGTTGGATACGATGGATGAAACAGATTTCGTTGGCGGAGTGGCAATTGTTGGTGAAGAGGTTGTGGTAGCAGGGGAATGTTCGGAAACATCAGGAGTATGGGGAACCGGAAGGCCTGGAGTGAGGGATGCAAGGTTGTTCCGTTGCTTTAGGAGTAGTTCAGATTTTCGAAGTTTCTCCTGAATGATATGCACTTCGATTTTGAGATCGGACAACTCATCCCGAAGACGTTGATTTTCTATGCGCAAGGACTCTCGTTCCTGCTCTCCGTTTTTTATTTCTTCTTCGAGCAGCACTCCTCGTTCTATGGAGACGTTGTACTTCGATTCCAGATCCTCCAAAGACGAGGTTGTGTTGCGCGCTTGGCGTTCAAAATCGTCATTTGCAACCTCAATATCCCTGAGCTTTAGCTGCAGGGTTCGATTCCCATCCCGTAACGTTGTAATCTCTTTCTGAAGGGCACTCTGCGCCGAGTTCGCTTCGGTCTTTGCTTGTTTATATTTTGCCTGTATAAATGGTTAGCAACACTGCCAAATGGTTGCGCTCATACAAAGGGACAATCTACTTGCCTTCCACTCTTCTGCTTCATATCCAGCACTTTCTAGTTTCTCTTTCAACTTCCGTTCCCTTTTCTCGGAGGCTTCAATGTCCTTTTCTAGCTCAACCTCAAGCTCTCGACTGGAAGACTGGAAATCTGCCAGTTCAGCCTCCAGCTGTTCGTACTGGGATTTATAATATGCAATAGCATCCTGTGCGGACGTGGAAGAGTTTGGAGGCGAGGACGGAGGCTCATCTGGCAAGGGCATCCTTGTTGCCTAGTGGGTCCCTCGGAAGGGGGCGTTGCGCAGAGATGTAGACAGGAGATGTCGATAACGAAGGCGTAAGATCAATAGAGAGGCAAGAAGCGTCGCCTTGCCCCTCGGGATCCGATCACAAGGTCGCAAGTTGACTCCTAGCCGAGCCTGACCGGAATGTCCACCGCTAGGGTGAGGGTCTCCCGTTATTTGAAACAAGGGATTCTGCTGGAACCCATACAGTGGTGTCGCCTATGTCGTCTTCATCGTTGTCGTCGTTGGTCGTTGGGATTGGAGCGAAGTAAGGCCGTGGTTGTTGATTGTTTGCATCTCATGATTACATAACCATTCAGGGGCTCCATGACAACGCACGCTATTCCATAAATAGAAATAGACTGCGCTATCATCAAGGTTTCACGCTAGACCATAAGCAGCCCGTGTCAAGGGATTACCTCACCCACATCACATGACCGCCTCTAAACCCCCAAATCCCACGGTTCATGGACTCGCGTCGTGCACATATCAGACCCTCCACAGTTATCCACCAACTCCACGCCGCCACAGACATCGCATCAACAGTAGTCTCCCAGTAAGTCCACCACTTAATATTCCACGCTTGTTGTTTCCTGTTTTCTTAGCATTGCTACGTAGTTGCGATGGGAGTTTAGCCCTGCAGCTTCTGAATTGCGCCACACACACACCCCCCCCCCCCCCACCTCTCTTTCAACTTTACGCTCATCCCAGCCTGTGCATTATGTCCACGCACTCTAACCCTCAAGCTTGCTGGTCGTCTATATCATTGCTGCCACGCACTTGATTTTACCCTTTATAAACCCCCGTTGTTATTACTCTCCTGCTCCGTGAATGTAGCAATGCAAATACTAACATCGCGTGGACAGCAATTGTCCCGCTGGCACCGCCAGATCACGAGATCATGGCCGACACATCAGACTTGAATCTTGATGCTCCCAGTGACCTTCAGGATCTTCCTGATCTGTCAATGGAGCTTATCCCGCCTCAGGAGGGAACTTATCCTGACAGAGCTTCTTTGCTTGCCGCTGTGCAGGCGCACGGTAAAGCGCACGGCTATAACATTGTCGTGAAGTCATCCAGTACACCCACGGAGAAGAAACCAGGCAGGGTCGCAAAGGTGTGGCTGCGATGTGATCGTGGCGGCCAGTATAGACCTAGGAATGGACTCACTGAAGAAACCCGGAAACGGAGACGGACATCTCGGCTTATGGATTGTCCATTTATGCTTGTTGCTGCGGGACATCCGGGTATCTGGACGCTGACAGTTTTAAACCCGACTCATAACCATGGTCCCATAGTGGAAAAGCCTCGCCAGAATCCTCATGCAAAGGCTAAGAAGGGTCAAGTCACGGCAACTCCGTATGATTGGCCTTATGATGCAACATTTACTCCATTTACAACTGCTCTCGTGATTATTGACATGCAGCGTGATTGTATGTTTCATTAGCCTCTCTTAAGTTTTGCATTGGATAGTGTTCTAACTCCAATATCAAACAGTTTGTTTGCCAGGAGGGTACATGGCGTACCAAGGGTACGATATTACGCCAGCACAGCTTCTTATTCCTAAGCTTCAGCGATTGCTTGATGCCTTCCGCTCAGCTGGGTTCCCTGTGTATCATACACGAGAAGGTATTAATTTTTCTCTGAGGGTTTTTATTTCTTTTTCTTTTTCTTTTTCTTTTTCTTTTTCTTTTCTTTTCTTTTTTTTTCTTTTCTTTTTTTTCTTTTGTATTTAACAAAAGGCCGCTTACAATTGTATCCAGGCCACCGCTCTGATCTTTCGAGTGTTTCCAACCGGGAAAGCTTCCGCTCGAAAAATAACCCTTCTGGCATGGGCATAGGTTCAGACGGACCGCTAGGGCGACTTCTTATTCGCGGAGAGCCAGGACACGACATCATTCCAGAACTGTACCCCACCATTGGTGAACCCATCATCGACAAACCAGGCAAGGGAGCCTTCACTTACACAGATTTTGAATTGCTGCTGCGCAATAAGGGGATTAAAAACCTTGTTCTCGCAGGTGTGACCACGGATGTTCGCGTTTTCACCACCATGCGAGAGGCCAACGATAGAGGCTTCGATTGCATCATGCTTGATGATGGCACAGCTGCGGCTGATCCGTCACTCCACATGAGCGCTGTCGACTCCATAAAGATGGAAGGAGGCGTTTTTGGAGCAACCACCAAGTTGGAGGATATGGTTCAGGCCGTTGAGAACTTCAAAGCCATCACGGTGAAAAAACTTGCTCCGCAGATGTCGGCTGTTGCAACTTAACAAAATCAAAAGGAAATAGTTTCGTGGGTGGATATACTGGAGGATTTTGATTTAAAATCTGTGCGGCTTTAGCGTGTATCTGGAAACTGGCGTTATCAGGGCGCCTGTCCCCTCCTTTTGATTTTTCCTTTTCCTGTTGCTCTATAACACAGTATTTGTTAAATATCTTTCGGGACTCTAAATCATCTCTGTTGGTATGTTGATGGCCTCCTTTCCGATCCTTGGTGTATTCCTGTGTTCATTTCTCAGTCTATATTTGTGTTTGTTATACAGAGGACGTCTCTACCGTCTTCCCTATTATTTTCTCTCATTTTGTTCTTGGGACCGTACTTACTTTCTTCCACTTCTCGTTTGGGGTCTTTGAACCTTTTTGTTATATACTGTACAAGAGAACTCTTCTTTCAGTCGTTATAAATTATTTTTGTTTCATGGGTATGGCAATGTTGACTGTGGCAATGAGGTAACTGTTCTATCTGACCTTCTTAGCAATCGAAAGCTCGGGTATCTATGACATATAAAAAATACCATGCTTCAAACACAATCTGCTGCTACCTCGCATCCAAAGGCACATCCAAAACCAACCACGATGATCCATGTTCCCCTTTTTTTAAACAGACAGACAGAAGAAAAGGAAACTCCCTAGAATCAAGTCACACCATCTCAAACAAACAGATGGAAACGCTTGCAAAATAAAACACTTACTTGCAAAAATACGCCCAGCCCCAGCCCAATACCTAAAGCACCACATAGCCATTGAAATCCAAAAGAAAAGTGAAATGGAAGAAAAAAAAAAAAAAAAAAATTAATTTCACAACCACTTCCTCCCCGCCGCAGCCACCTTCCCCCTAAAAACCGGACTAGTAATCTCCATCCCCCGTCTATAAAACGGACTCATCACCGCCTTCACCCAATTCTCGTACACCTCATTCATGAACTGACGGATAGCCTCTTCCGTCTGTGGCGATGTGGGGTTATTTGCTATCGATGACGAGGTGGCGCGGGATGACGTTGTAGGTGTTGCGGAGGCTGACAGGGGACTGGATGTGCTTCCCGCTGCCGTTGCGGAGGAGGCCTGGGGAGGTTGGTGGAGGAGGAGGAAGCGGGCGCCTGAGCCGGTGAGGAAGGCGGAGATGTATGCTGAGGTTGGGGGGTAGGTGTCTATGTGTTTTAGGTACCTGTGATGCAGGGGTTAGTTTGTGTATATAGAGGGCAGTCTTAGCAAAAATAGAGGTGTAGGTTGATGGAGATGTGTGATTTGAGATGAGCGATTGGACTGTGATGGGCTATGATGTCCTATGGATGGAATAGAACATACATGGCGCCGTTCGACCATTGTAGTTCCTCGACTATATCTAGACTGGCGTGAACGATGAATTGGTTCATGTACGGGGCATTGTCTGGGAAGTAGAAGCGGGCAACGCCATCTCCGCCCGCCTTGGAGGTACCGAAGGAATGGCTGAAGAGCGGGACATCGGTTGGGGAGAGAATTGTGAAGTAATATGACATCCCGCTTAGTTTTTTCTTTTAGCTTAGTTTTACAGCAAGGGGATGTGGGATGTGACATGTGAGTGTGTGTTGGGTGTTTTGGCGCATGGAATATTTAACCGTTGTAGGTGTTCTTCAAGCACGAACAGCAAATAAATAACTAGTTATGCGCTTCCGGGAATGAATGAATACTTTAAACTGTTAACATATGTTCCCGGCGGCGGGCGGGGAGGCAAGTCATGTGATAAATATGGAGATTAGCTTTCTCATACGATATACAAGTCTGTATCAGAGGCCTGAGGATTAATATTTTCATCATCCCATTGACTGATGGTTTTTGACACTATAATATCTGCTTAATTGCATGTCCACCGGATTATTCTCATAATGTCCCATCCAACCCTCTCTCATGGCCTGAACCTCCCCGGTAAGAAACCCCAACCCGTCTCCCTCCCCAAGGCCAACACGGTCAACCCGCAAAAGCGCAAAAAGACAATCTTCGATTCAGACTCCGAAGACGGCGATGGACCAAAAGAAACCAATGGCTCCGTCGAAATCACCACCATAGGTGACCTGAACGATGACAGCAATTTCCCCAGCGATGAACCCTCATCCAAAAGACCCGCCAACTCCAAAAGAAAATCCCCCGCTCCCCAAACACTCAACTACACAAACCTCTCCAGCCTCCACAGCAGTAAAAAACATGCCCAAACCGCCGAATCCCTCGACTCAACAATCTACGACTACGATGCAGTCTACGACTCCCTCCACGTCAAGAAGCTTTCGACAACCTCTTCCTCATCTGCACAAGCGGTCTCCACACCCAAATACATGACCGCCCTCTTCCGCAGCGCAGAGATCCGTAAGCGCGACCAGCTGCGCGCACGAGATAAACAACTCCAGCGCGAACGGGAAGCTGAAGGCGAGGAGTATGCTGGTAAGGAGAAGTTTGTGACGGCGGCGTATAAGGCACAGCAGGAGGAGGCGAGGCGGATCGAGGCTGAGGAGGCAGAGAGGGAGAGGGAAGAGCAAGAGAGGAGGAGGGAAGGGGTGGGGATGGTGGGGTTTTATAAGAATATGCTTGAGCGGGATGAGAAGAGGCATGAGGAGATGGTTAGGTGGGCGGCGGAGGCGGCTGCAACTGCAGCGTCTGGGGAGAAGGAGATGGAGAAGGAAGTAGATGAGGACGAGAAGACTGATTCGCAGATTGCAGCGGAACTGAACGCCCGGGGCGCCAATATTATTCTTAACGATGAGGGGCAGATTGTTGATAAGCGAGAGCTTCTTACGGCTGGATTGAATGTTGTGCATAAGCCTAATAAGGCGAGGATGGCGACGGTGTCTGAGAAATCTGGGTGGGGTGGTGCGGACCGACGAAGGGGTGGTTTGGAGATTGGTGGGTCTGGGCGTGCGGCGCAGCGAGCGAGACAGACGGGGATGTTGGCTGCGCAGTTGGAGGAGAGGATGCGGAAGGAAGCAGAGGAGGAGGAAAAGAAGGCGAAGGAACTGGCGGAGAAGACTAGGAGTTCGAAGACGGAGAGGGATGTGCAGAGTGCGCGGGAGAGGTATCTTGCGAGGAAGAGGGAAAGGGAGAAGGAGAAGTAGGAGCTGGGTGGATGGATGGGAGAATATTGCTTATTCATGAGTGCAACGAGGATGATTGAGGTCTTCATTAATATGTTGAACATGGTTGTCTCACCGTCACTGGCAATTTATCAGAGGATGTGGCGCTCTGCCTTCTTTTACTTGTATCCACGATTAACCAGACCTTCGGTGGAAATTATAACATGTACACCTAGCAATCTTAACTATCAGGTTCAAATATTCGTTTGATGAAGCATGTCGGATACAGTAGTCTCGAGTCTTTAACGTTGAATTCGTACAAAAAAGAAGGGGTGAAAAAAGGTGGTTGCTTGAAGATAAACTGATAACACCTGCTCATGAATACTCCACGTTATATGGTACGTAGCTCATAACCATTGAATCCAACAATGCTAATGCCAACGCCAAAGCAGAACAGGACACAATGGTACGCGAATTAGAGTCAAAAGGAAACTCAAATAAAGAAAAGAGGGAGAGAGAGAGAGAGAGAGAGAGTCTCCTGGAGCATCCTTTTCATGCAGTCAATGCAAAACTGAACCCCAAAATCCCCATCCCCAACACCGCAAATCCGATGCAAAGAGACGTATTATGCGACAACACCAGCCCCTCAGAGAAGAGCTGTAGCGATACGCTAGTCATCACCCCCGCAGTAGCAGCAAACATGCCTCCATAAACAGCCCAGGAAACCTCATCAGTGCCTGGAGCTGTTCCGCCATCGCCACTAGTCGCCTTCGCAGCACCCCAGATCCACAACGCTGCAATCCCAGCTCCGGCGGGCTGGCTGATGCCGCCTAGAAGGCTGGACGAAATCATGGCTTTTAATCTTGAGTTCAGGGCTAGGTAGAGCGGGAGGGCCATGACGAACCCCTCTGTGATGTTGTGAATGGAAAGTGCCATGAAGACAGAGAAACCCAGTGTTGGGTTTGCGTGGTTTGTTGCGTAGGTGATGAAGCCTTCGGGCAGCTTGTGGAGGGCGATGGCTAAGGATGTTTGGAGGCCGATGGATAGGAACGCGTTTTGGGGCACATGGTGGTGGTGGGTCACTCCAGCCTCTATAGATTGTTGGTTTGGGTCCTCGAGGTAGCTGGTAAGGCCGTGGATACCTAGGAGGGATGTATTTTCGTCTCTTGAGACCGGCCTGGAGTGGTGGAGGGTTTCGGAGGTGGGGTGTGAGGGTGGGTGTATATTTGATGAAGCACCACCACTGCATGCTTCGAGGGCTTGCTCGCTCATAACGCTCTCTCGGGAGCTCATATGCCTCATGCTCCTCTGATCTATAATCTTAGCGCACTCCTTCCCACAGGCGTGCGACAGGCCATAACAGGGTCCGTCCTTGTTACAGGAGGGTTTGGCCCCACCGACAAACGACGTGAATCTACGAGTTAGTCTGGAAGCGAGAGGTAGCGCCGCCGCTTTCGCAAGCGGAGTTTCGTGGCTGTGAGATGGCATGGATGGAGTAGAAGAGAGTGTCCCCGGGCCTATCAACGGGGTATGTTCGGTGACAGGGGGAGTGGGCGTCGTGATTGCCGCAATAATAGGTTGGGAGTGATAATGAACTCCGGTACTATCAACTCCATCTTCGAGACCCTTGACGTGGTGCTGATGCGTGTGCATACAGTCAACGACATGCGAAGGGATATAGCGATGAATGAAGGAGGAAACTAGTTGTATGATGACTACCCCAGCTAGAAAGAGTCCGATGAGAACGAAGCTAGCAGCCGTGCTAGCGAGTCCGGCTTGCATAAGATATGACTTTGCCGTTGGAAGCATGCTGTAGAGAGACGTGAAGATCTTTCATGCTCGTTAGTTTTTGGTTACTGATCGATAATCCATTAACCCCCGTACTCACCAATACACCTGCGCTCAAACTCAGGGAACATGACAGAAACACATTGCTGTTTGCAATATTAAAGTTCTTAAAGCCACAGCAGTTCCTAGCAATGAGATCCACGCAAATAATACTGGCTCCTAGAACGCAAGCTAGAAGATAGCAGGAAGAGGCCGAATTAGCAACCAGGGCTTGACTGAGAGAGAGAGAGAGAGAGAGAGAGAGTAAACAAACAATCCGGAATGCATCAAATCACCTACCAACACCACTGACACAGCTCATAATCCAACCCCGGGTATCATTGTCCAAAGCCATATTGATGGAGGAAGGAGGATGGGTGGTGTGATCAGAGAGCTTGTTGATCCTAAGCCCACTCCGCGTCGTTCGTTGTTTTGCGGCAGCACACCCAGGGACCCCAGTTGGCGGCAGGTCTTGGTACGCAAAAACCGTGCATTGGCTGTAAGATACAAAACAGCTGCGAAAGGAACAGTCTAAGATGGATAATATAAACGCCTTGATGGGCAGAAGTGGACGGTATATATATAGATGTAGATATGGTAGAGAGGAAAGACAGAGAGCAGTCGTTTGTAATTTAAATATAAGCTGATAATAAAATATTCCTTGGGATTTTTGGCTCAAAAGTAAGTGCTTGTTCGGAGGAAGGAAGTAACGTAACCCTGCCTCCTTCCCTTTTAGGCAAGGTCCGAGGCCGATGAGCCTAAATCATGTGGTTTGCACTATTATTTGTAAGGATGTCAGGTGACCCCAACCGTTTACTTAACTAACTACTCCGTAACTAACTAGTTAACTAGTTAACTAGTTAGTTAGTTTGGTAGTTGCCGAACTGAGGCTCTTGTGATTAGTCATCCTCATGTCACGTGGCTTCAAAGGGCGGTGATGCACGCCGCCCGGTGATTGGTCAGAGCAACTTTCACTCCTTCTCTGCTCTCTGATTGGCTCTTCCTGCCTCAGCGCTTGACAAGTAACCATAAGCTTAACTGACCATCACAAAAGAGCCCATCGCCGGCTTCATCCAGCTTCATCTAAGGCTGGTGAAGGGTACGGTACCTCAATCGCTTTCCTGCTGTGTCTTTGCTCTTGTTTTGCTGTTGTCATTCCTTTTCTGTGCTTCGATCATAGCAAAGAAGAAAAACCAGAAAAACCAGAAACATCAAAAAAAAATAATAAATAAATAAATAAATAAATAAATAAATAAATAAATAAATAAATAAATAAAACAAAAGAAAAAACAAAATTAAAAAAAAAAAAAAAAATTTAAAAATCCCCCCCCCCAGCCATGTCCAAGGCTACCTTCGCTCTCATAGCTGCTGCCGGTGCAGCGACCGGAGCCAGTGTCACTGCTCTCATATACTCCTCCAGAACCCGCCAACAGCAGCTCGGCACCCCTCCTCCTTCTACCCGTCTCCCACCCCAAACTACATCGCAACCAACCTCACTCCTGATACCACCACACCCCAAGATCATAACCCCCGATACAGCTTCACCTGTCGACCCAGTCGGCCTTTTCCAATACGGCTTCCCCGGCCCCGTCTGTGACCCCGTAATCACTCTCCCCCTCGCCAGCGCCTTCGACCGCCGAACCCGCAACCCCTCCTGGGTCGCCGAACACTTAACCCCCGAATCTCTCGCCCAAAACAACGCGGATCGCAAAAAGAGCAACTTCTATGAAGAACAAACAATCCCCCAAGCCTTCCGCGCCCGGTTATCCGACTATTTCCGCTCCGGCTACGATCGCGGCCACCAGGTGCCAGCCGCAGACGCCAAATGGAGCCAGATCGCAATGGACGCCACTTTCTCGCTGGCAAATATGTGCCCCCAGGTTGGCGAGGGATTCAATCGTGACTACTGGGCCCATTTCGAGGATTTTTGCCGTCGGCTGACGAAGGTTTATCCGTCTGTGAGAATTGTCACGGGTCCCCTGTATCTGCCCAAGCGCGATCCGGTGGATGGGAAGTGGAGGGTTACCTATGAGGTTATCGGGAATCCGCCCAATGTTGCTGTGCCTACGCATTTTTACAAGGTTATCTTTGCAGAGGATGGCGTTACTGGTGGCAAAGTCAGCCTAGGTGCTTTTGTCCTGCCCAATGCTCACATTCCGAACGAGAAGAGTCTTGCGGACTTTGAGGTCCCGTTGGAGGCTGTGGAGAGGGCTAGTGGGTTGGAATTTGCATCGAAGCTTCCTGCGGAACGGAGGAAGAAGCTGTGTCAGGAGGTCAAGTGTGAGATTATTGCCAGGCAGTTTGTGCAGAGTAGCAATGATATCAAGGCATTGCGCTCGTCTTAATTGCATTAATGATGCGTACTTACGTCTCTAGTTCTGTTATGGGTGTATGCGCAGGATTTAATGGGGATTGAAGATAGCGTACTTTTGTTTGCCCTTCAATTTTATTTAGATTTGATCATTTTCTTTCCGGTATTGGGAGTCCATGGATGTATATTGGGATCCAATCATATCTGCTTCCTAGTTCATTAATTCTGACGTCAAGCAGTATTATGTATTTCGTTACGTGATGAAAATCGAATCCGGGACAGCAGCTGTGCTGCGGCTGGAATACCTGTAATACATAAACAGGAGAGAAAATTTCTAGATATCAGCACTGAAAAGCTGTCCCAGCCTTCTTCGCTATATTGCTACCTCCGCCAGCAAAACCCGTCCCTTCGCTATTAATCGTAACCAAGCCAGGACGGATTTTGTCATTCTCTTTCTCCTTTTTACCATCTTTTGACTCTTTGCTTGCTTTCCGTTCCGTAACATCCGTCTCGCATACATAGCAAAGCACCTTGTCGTGCGTTTCCGTATCCTTCAGGTCAGTAGAATGCGGATCGGGATGGAGATGCGGAGTCATGAATTTGTTGACACATGGTTTACATATTACATGCCCACAGGGTTTTGTCACTTTGTCATTTGGATTAGTTCAATGGGGATCTTTGCATAAGGAATAGTATCGTGACCGTAAAACGTACATATAGCCTTCACGCCATTGCTTAACCCTTTTTGACAGCTTGGGCATATTCTTATCGTTTCGCCAGATTGGTCATCTTTATTCTCTGTGAAATTAACCGTGACCAGGCCCTTTAGCGAATAGGTATGTTTGTTTCCAGGGGTGGAAGCGGGACACAAGGGTGTTAGTTTGACGGGTTTGCTAGCGTGTGGACCGTTGGACGCGGAGGGAGTGAGTGAAGGCACCCAGAAGGAGGGAAGCTGAGATTTTGATGATTGGATCTGGCATGGTGCAAGTAAAATGGATAATTCGTCAGTATAGGCTCGACATCGTAAAATTCTAGAAGCCATCTAGCAGAGGAAATATCTCACCCGTTCTCTTTCAATTTTCTTCCGAATCTTCTCTCTCTCCTCCTGCGCAATATCCCTCATAGTCTTTTCATCCAACTCAAACCCTTTCCTCCTCTTCCTCGCCAGCTCCCCATTGGGACTAGCATCTCCCCCACCACCTGCATCGGAATCCAATTTCCGCTTCCTCTCTTCTAATCCCATGCTGACCATTTCAAATTCTCTCAATTCCCTCTCCCGGGCCTCCTCAGCCAATCGTCCCTCCCCTTCTTCTCTATCACGCTCCGCTAGCTCCCGTTCTTTCTCTAACCGTTTAATCTCTTTTCGTTGGGCGAGGAGATCATTGACGGCGCATTCGCGACAGAATATGTCTCCGTTCGTGGCGCAGGCAACGACGGGGGAACGAGCGGGGAGAAGGCATAATCGACATGATGAGAAGGGGAGGAATGATTCTCGGGAGAGGCGGGTGCTTTGGGTGCCCCAGGTAGAGCGGAGGAGGGAGCGTTCGTAGGAGGTAAAATGGGGGAGGGAGGTGTTGCGCTTGGAATGCGCCATGGTTGTAGGCGGGATTTTGAGTGTCCCTGAGGCGATTGAGAAGGACAGTATAGCCTTTTAGCAATTTGCAGAGAGATACATAGTCATTTGTGGAAGTTAGACGATCAGTAAGAACAGATTCCAACTCCATAGAAGCATTGTATCGAATGGAATTGCTCCCGGGGCTCAAAACGGGTGACTAAGCTTTTTAAGCCATCTTATGTAAGGCCAATGGGGGGGACCGCTGATCTATTAATATATTTAGTTATTCACTTATTGGATTCTACATTATTCTCGTTTGATATATTTTAACTATTCTTTATTGCTAGTAACTGGCCTCGAGGTATAACAACTAACCAATCGCACGTTTAACGTTTCGACTGATAGCGATGTTCGGTGCTGCAGCCAAACAACTTGTCAACCTGTTTCATGGCCTTGCAATCCTATCACTTAAAATTCTTACTTCCATCGTGACTTATTTTTCAGATGATTGTCAACAAGTTGCGTTTTCAATATGCCTCCAAAGTTGGAAATGGGGCCATCATCTTAACGCCGGCATTTCATGGGCCTCAATTAGACTCATTGGGGAGTGACTTTTCGCCTTTGGAAGAGAAGCGGCAAAAGAAACAGCTCTTGGTCCAACTATGTTGGCAATGATCATATCTATTTTTAAAAGGTCAATAAGGCCTAACATCCTTTATAGAGGTTCAGGAAATCGCTGGCATAGAAAGGAGATGTTGGACGGTGGGACTTGAACACATAACATCGTCCTTTAACTGCGATTCAGTGTCTCGCAAATCACAATTCCACCAGAGGGTGCATTTTTCCTGTCTCTCTTCGAGTTCTTCTTAATTTTCTAACAAAGATCAAATTCTGTTCATGTACAGCCTTGCACCCAGGGACCGCGACTGCCCGGATCCCATTGATCACAACAGGGAGGATATCAACTTCTTGACTCGATGCTTGGAGACACAGGGAGGAAAGTGGGTGTAGGTGCAGTTAGCAGTATCCTTTACCTGACGCCATTATAATCCGCATATCTGAACTTCAAATCATGTTTGTCGACTGTAGTGCTCCCGATTCTTAGGCAACAACGTTTGCACCAAAACTGGCTATGATACTTATATCTCGTCCCGGAGAGCAGAGGGGGATATGAAATGTAACACCCCATGGCCTGTGTTTTGCGACACTTATTGTTTTGTTAAATGATGGAACACGGTTCGCCTTTTGGCTTTTTGTTCCATTTTTGCCTTGTTTTGCGTTTTGCTTTCAATTTTGACTTTTTCCTCTTCATTTGATTTTGGTTGTTGCAATCTTGTCACTGAGGTTTATCGTCTGGCAAGTATAGCGAAGATGGGGAATCAAAGGTGGAACATGGGCTGTTTACAGATATTTCCAATGACATTCGATTCGGTCAGCTGGACTTGGTGGCGTTGGGGAGCTCTGGCACTTGTGCTCTAGCAAGATTCATTGCAAATCTACGCAGTCACAGCTCAACAAACATTCTTTTTTGTTTCGATTAAATGCCATCTCCCATGATTTCTACGACTGCCTCCCTCAAGACCTCTGAAATCATCAATCTACTGGAGAATTGGTGAAACCTAATTCTCCAGTTTTATGGAAGTTAAATGACTGCTGTTCTCTTTTAATATTTCATCTCCTTCGGAAAGCATATCAACCTATAGTGCTAATGGCAAAATAACCACCGTATTTTCTCATATCCACTTTGTTCTAAACGTTATTGAATATATATCTGGGGATAGAATCAATCCCTTGCATGTTTGGTAGAAGTAGGTTAAGGTCCCAGTGTCAGCTTCGGCTTCGGCTTGCCGATGTAAATAAAGTTTTGTCGGTTGTCGGCCCGAGCCGAGGAAATTCAGTTCCATTTTCGTTCCAGCTGTTCCTAAGACGGGCTTCGCAATAGCCAGACAGCCAGACTTACCTTAAGCTTCCTGTAAGCAGTCATGACTTCAGCAGAGTTGCTATAGTATTACTGGTCCGTGATGTTTTCAAGCAAATATCCAAGATAACTAATGCTTACCCATCTCCAACGATCTAGGTAGGAGAATCCGTTTTAAAGAGCTGTTCTCTGAATCAATACTGCTCCACTTAATTAGCCATCATAAATTTCTGAATCTGAGCTACAGCTACTGGTTAAAACGCAAATTTACAACTAATAATTCTGAAACTGCCCTGGAACTTCTAATTGCTCGTCAAATACGTCCTTGGAAACTGGAAAACAAGGAATTAATCTTGAAGTTCAATTTAGACCCTAGGATTGCTTCCCCTTTTCTTGATTCTTATCACCATCAACATCTCCTCCACCAACGTTATCCCTGGCCTTCTTTTTGTATTTCTCACTGCCCTTGCGCTTTGCTTTCTTCGACTTAGCTTCAGCGCCGCTGGCATGTCGGTGACGAGACTGATCGTGTTCTTTTTTTTCCACCTGGAGTTCCCTTACCAGCTCGTCGATATCTACGATTGAGCTTTTCTCACAATTATCCCCTTCATCTCCCGCTTCCATTGTGCTAGTATGCGCCCGTTCATACTCGGAAAGCTTGATGTAATCTCCAAGGTCATTGGCATCAAGCATGAACAGGATTTCCACGTCTCGCTCTTGATTTCTGCGGATAATATCCATATCATTTTTTGAAGAGAGTCCTCTCTGCGTACTTCCAGAATGCGAAGTTTTCATTGGATCTTTCTGCAATTCTTTAATTCGCAAGAAGTCCTTGCCGTTGGCCCCTTGGATTTTGAGAAAGGCATTCTGAGCCTTTGACAAGAACACCATTGCCCTCCCCTCATCAGAGTGCCACGTGCAGACGAATGCACAATGTTCCCAAATCCGAGCAAATCGATTATCAGTTATTTCAGCCTTGAGGTGTATGTCTAAAAGCGTGTGGGCCATCTGCAGGATACCTGCCGGTTCTGCATCGATTACCTTTTCCGTGAAGATGATTGGGAGCTTTAAGTAGATAAGTTCAAACCCAGCCTCAATTCTGGAGTTTTCTTTTCCGCAGAGCTTGCAAGCACACTCAAACCCATACTCCTGCAGGAGGAACTGTTGGCGGCTGGCTCTATCCATGTACAAGACGTCATATGGAATTGTTATCTCCTCCCCCTGCGCAACCTTCTTACAAGCATATACGGTCAGGAAATATCTCTCCTCCCTGTCATCGTTGCATTTCATTGTAAACAACGTGTGCTGGGCGTTTGGAAGACATGCATGGTTGAGGTACGCGGAGCTCAAACCAAGGACTCGACCTCTCACGGCCCCTATCTGCATTGGGATGGAACCTCGCTCGAAAACAGCTGCAAACGGACCCCATTTTTCCTTCGGCAGATGGGGAAGCTCGAAGAACCTGCGACTGAAACTCGGATTCGCCACGGCTTTCACTTGCTGCGCAAGATACTTGTTATATGAAGCGATTGAACCTCCCGTGGTCTCAAGAGTCCCCACGGCGACCATCACTTCTTCACAGACGATACACTCTCCTTCGTCAAAGCTCTCATTCGCGACGAGTCCCTGTCCTCTGTCTCCGCAGGTTTTAGCCTCGTAGATCGATGTCGAGTTAATCAATGTTGACAGATTAAGCAACATCTTGGCGTCGAATTTCCCTGGTTATATGTTCTGCATGTAAGTATTTGGTTAGACGCAATATACTTTCTTTCTTTTTTTTTCCTTTTCCTATTTCATTCTTTTTTCTTTCTTTCTTTCTTTTTTTAAAAGAAAAGCAGCCTGAGACCTTTTGTGAGTGGCTCTGTGTTTACCTGTATTAGATGCGTGATCACTTGTACAGAAGTGCGGAACTCTTAAATTTTAGAACTTCTTAGGTATGATATGTGTGATATAAGGAGTGAAGATTTATCTATTTCGTGCAGGGATTCTAGCATGACATGGAAGAAGAGTAGTAACAGATACATATAGAACAATGATAGAAGAGAAAGAGAAGAGATAAAATAGAGAGAGAGAAAAGATAATAGCATCTGTTGCTCTGACAATGAATTATACCCTGTCAATAACTACACACGACTCATTCTTTGTCAGAAAATCAAATATCACATCTTATAAAAGTCGGCTTTAAGCTTCTTTAGCTGTTTTTTAATTTTAATTTTGTCATCATTCAACACAAATATGAGAATTTTCTGATATTATTATTATATGCTGTCTTTCTCAAATGTTCACAGTTTTCAGATCAATTCTACCGTTGCAACCTGTCTCATGATCTTAGAAAGAAGAAGAAGAAGAAAGTACAAATAAAGAAAAACAGTTAAGTGTATGATAAATTGGCATTCTATTTATCTCTCCATTCCTTTCTACTCTAATTAAACTTAGGTAGTTGTTGGAAATGTATTTTATCAGATTTCTGAGTTATGGTGTCTCGATGAGGAGAAAGTCATGGAAATGTAAAGGGAAGGAAAGAAACTGAGCTTATCATGATGGCTCCGCGTAAACGGTGAACGAGAAGTTCTTGACAGGAAATTATCAGATCAGCTGAAAATCGCCGAATTCGTCCAGATGTACATCCAAAATAATCCTTGTACAAGCAACAATGGCTTTCGAATGGAACAAAGTCTTGGTAACAATCCTCGGCAAAAAGGAAAATCTTTAAGGAAAATTCAGAGATTGTATGTCGGACTAAGATAATTCGATATTTGGATCTATGACAGCGAGTTCTAGCAGATCGAACAAGTCGGGTCCCGTTGTCTGATTTAATGGTTCGGATGCTTTTGGCATCTCTGACTTTAATAGTGAACCACCAAGTTGCTCTGATCTATCCAGGTTCATCATGGGAGGGAGTATCGTTGAATAGTCAATTTCGTCCTTAGTTAAGATGAAATGGGGATAAGGTTGATCAACATTGGTGTCTGTATGATATTGGGGATTGTAGCTTCTCCTCGGTCCTCAGAAAGGTTGTGGTCGAAAGGTCGCTTAAAGGCTTCTCCACTTGGCAAATTATTGAAAGAACAGTCATAGGATAATGGCGAATGAGCCAGAACATTGTTAGTGGCGTTTCTAAGAAACAAGGGAGTGCGAAGTACCATCTGTTCTAAGAATGAAACTCGATGTTCAAGCATTTCATTACGGCGCCTCAATTGTTGAATTTCGACGCTCAATGGTAACATCATTTCTCTTGTCGGAGTGTGTTCGAGTTGGGGCTGAGTGGGGAATTATCGATCTCGTAGGGCTGTATATTTGAAGACTGAGATATATTCGTGAATCCAGAGTTAGATGGAGACGAATTGTAAGTGTTCGAAGATCCTGAATTATCTCTCAATCGCGCAGGAAATCCTTCAACAGAAGTATTCAATCGAGGTAACAAGGGTGGAGACGATGGCCCCCAATCTACGCATGGTTAGTACCCCTGCTCGAATACACGTCGCGGAATTTAACGAATTATGCATTATGATAGCTTGTAGAGAAATGGGGAAAAGGAGACAAATTCTGCTCACATGGGGATTTGGGTAGGGGCGCCCCTCTGAATCTTTCCCGCCACATAGAAGCCCATATCTCCTCCTAAGAGCAATGAAGCTTCATAACGGCTTTGAGCAAGATCCTGTCGAAGTTGGCTATTTTCAAATGTCCGATAACATTCGCTGCAAACGTATTCACCGTGGGTCCGAGAAAAGTGACGCCTACGAAATTGTTAGCACAACGTTCAGTTTATGAGAATGCCATCGCAGGTGTAGAGAAGAAAAAAACCGCAAGACTAGCAATGAGTATTCTTTCACATACCTGAGTGATGAAATGTATGCAAAGCTGGTCCCAGAACATACGAGGTACCTTCGATCACGATCTCCATGGTAGACTTATGGATCACACATATGATAGAGACATGCGAATTGCTGTTTGGCTCGCCCGGGATCTGGGCTCTTGAACCGCTTGCGTTTCCGGTTGTTATTACCCTCGTCATCTTCGTCCTGGGAATTTGTTCCCACATTCGTGTCAGGGTTCCTGGCCTCCGCCACTGTCCCCAGTTGCAAAATCGAAACAATATTGAGATGTAGCACTTGTTGCTTCGTGCGCTTGAAAACTTCCTCCACTTTTATATTCGGAATGACCGGTTGTTTCTGGCGAACTCCATGTTTATGCTTTTCTGGTGGAAAAATCCTAACCTTTGTATCCTGATCGGAGACATCTCTTCCATCAACGCAGCCTTCCTGAGGGTGGAACGTTATATTCCCGGCAATGGGACGAGGTGTAACAGGCAATTTGTCCAAGTGAGAATGCGCTATCGGAGACGAGCCCTTGAGAAGGTCGGGCTCCAAGGACTAACCGAATCGTTATTGTCTGCTTTTGGAGGACCTTCCACAGACGGCTCTTTTTGCACCAGATAGCTTTTTGAAGCGGGTATAGAGCTAGTTTGATATTGAAATCCGCATGGAGAGCTTTTGCAGGTGACTCTTATTCCCGAAGTTGAGTATAGGGGAGGACTAAATCTTTGATGCAATGACACTCGGCCTTTTGTACTTGGGCTTGTATCAGGAAAGTCAACAGGGGTGGAAGCCGGTAGCTCAGGAACAAGTGATTCTGATAATCCATTTCCAGGCCTATCCCGAAGACAATGGGGAGCGTGCCACTTGGCATCAGAGTCGAATTCGAAGAATTAAAAGACCCGAAAGATGGATTTCAATGGTTCGCCAGCTAGTCCTTAGTCCTGTAAAATCGTCCTTTTTGACTTTTATAGTTCAGTTCAAACGTTGGGTTTTGTAGCGTCTCCTTCAGCGAAATAACTTCACCGCAAGATTGGTGGACATGGTGCCCCTTCAAGGTAATCCATAATACTCCCAAGAGCGTCCTACACCAAAAGTTTATTTTCAGGACATAGAAAATTGCTGCTATGATGAAAGCAGCATAGCTCTCCCTTACATCGACAGGTATATTATGGTCAAGTATTGGAGTGATTTCTGATCCGTCAGACCGTCCACTTTCCGTTTCTGTATCCAAAGGAACACAAGAGCCGGAATCTGTCTGGACTGGCATTTTCTTGAAGCGATTCCACCATTTATTTAATATTTTTGCAAGTGTGTGGCTTTTGTTTTCAGAGTTTCTTCTCCTTACTAAAACAATATTAACTTCTTTTTCGCTTTCGAATTTCACTATTATAAGGAGGCAATGGAACGTAAATAGTATCCCAGACACTCGGGCATGGATATTGGGGGGGACTTACAACTTTTCGTGCATGTTTCCAAGGTGCCGTGAAAGTCGCGAGGGTCACATTGGTGGGCATATTTTCTGCTCTTGCCCCTTTTCGAACTTGGTTAAGTTGAAACCAAGTTGAATGTTTTCGTCTTGGGCAATAATATGGATTTACGCTGATGGTTGAATTTTTTGCAAGCCTGAGTTTTACCTCAACAATCTCCTAGAAGACAATTAAGTTCACATCATGAATGTTCAACAAGCCTCTGTTCAACATTCTCCAAGGGCCGCCATAACGGGGAATCTTCGCAAAGGGTCACAGTGATGCCTAGCAGAGATTTGGAAATTTTTATCAACAGTTGCCGCGTGTTAAGGCAACAACTTGAGCGGAAACCGAGTACTCTTGGCAACAATGCTGGAAATTGCCTTGCGTTCAACGGTCAGCTTGTCAGGTGAGCGCAACTTGATACGTAGATATATAGTTAACCTGAGGGTTCCCATAGCTACTATTTCATCAAGGGTGGCCGTCTGTAGATTGGAGTTATTGAACGATCTGGTATTTCCCCATATTACTCCTCTCGTATAATGTTAAAAAAATACAGATCATTATGTATCTGACAAAAGGCGGGGCACTGTAAGTACCCGCCATTTCTTCAGGTACAATATCCGTTTTTGACACCTGGTTGAGTCTGCGGGATACATTGGAAGCTGAATTAGGATGTCTTCCGGGAGGAGATGTGCGTCACTAGCATATTGCATGAACTATGAGCAAGTTGGCAGTCTGCAGACAAATCAAGGTATAATCGCCATCAAATCTCTGGAAAACCACGCGGGGCGCTGATAAATGTCTTTCAAGACAGGGCCAAGAGCGGCGAAATAGCTTAAGCTTCAACGCAGCAGTGCAGCCTTCAATGACTGAATGTGGATCAGTTGCTGATGAGAGAGAGCCGCTTATCGTGCATGCAGAACATGCAGAGGTAGACCAGTAAGAAAATGCAAGTTATCTCATACCTTTTCTTTTGCCTTGGCCATTTTGAACCTCTCTATTCCCTTAACTCTCCCTCTCCCTCACCTGGCTCCACTCCTCTCGTGCACTTCGCTCAATCCGCCTTCCACATCCAATGCTGAAGAGTTCGTAAGGCTTACCCATACCTCTAGTTTCCAAAGACTAGTTTTTCGAACGTAAGTAAAGCGTATATATCGTAGGCAGTGTTGAACTATACCTTGAATGTGTCGAAACGAAGGAAGGAGTAAAATGTATGTAAAGGCATGGCATCTTCTTTTATTATTTTCTTTTTCCATCCTCGATTCGAATAGTTACCATGTGTTGAATCGTGAGCCCTTATTCCTGCCCTGGTCATCACCTGTGTTATCGTCAGCACGCACTGCCATCAAGCCGCCCCTGGCAGGGCAGACTGAAAGGCTGCTTCGCACCTTGGATGCATAACTTGCTTGGTCTAGACCCAACTTGAAGGCCGTGACAATTCTTTTTCGGTGTCCGAACGATTTGTGTAGGACGCAGGTCCTCTGGTGGGAAGAATTTATTTTACTTCTAGCATGTCGGTTGAACTGAAACCATTCAAGAATGAAGTGAATACTTGGAGCTGATCGAAGAACGGATATTGTGGAGACAAAGCCTTGGCACTCGAGTTGGAGGTTATTTAACGGGAACTAGGTTGTTAGACGGGAGGTTAAAATATTAAACTCCAGATATCGAAATCTTTCTTGGGTTTAACTACATAATTAATCTAATCCGCCGGTCAACGGACGCGATTTTTTCTATACTAATCCCCCAAGCTTCAAATGTCAATGTCATGTCAAATAACATGAATATCAAACTTGCAATAGCTGAATATCTCTGTAAGAAAGATACAAATTACACTATTATTGTTGGTAAAATATGGAATTCATCAGATTATTCTTATGTCATATTTACTGACAAGTTAATTTCAAGACTGTCATCTATAAAAGAAAGCTCATAGATGCTCAAGAGAAGCAGCTTTTTTATATAAATCAGCTATCAAATTATAAAATTTCTTCTAAATTAAGTATTTTTGAAAATTTAGTTTAGAATATATAAAAAATCTATTAATAAAAATTAAACTAGAGGAGATTAGAATTAAAATTTATTATCTTTAAATATATATAAAGATATAAAAAATAACTATTTATATAATATTAAAAATATATAACTAAATACTAAAGCAATTTTTTTATAAATATATATTTTTTAATTATATTAAATCTAAAGATTTAGCAAAGTTTCTACATTAAAATATAAATCTCAAAATGAAAATCATACTGTTAATATTTTTTAAAAAAATATAAATTATTCATGAGAATTTTATTTATAAAGTCTTCAGAGTCTATAAGTTATTTATATATGAATATTATGATGATAAGAAAAAGTAAACACAATTTAATATTAATAAAAATGAGTTAATAGTAATAATTTTTACTAACTTAATTAAAACAGCTGTTGAATTTAACTTAATATTTTATTTAATCAATTAAAAAATATATTCATAATTAGAGAAAGAATTTTTATATTTTATTCATATTTAATAAAGAATATATATTATTTATTCTACTGAACAAAAACTGCTGAAAAAAGACTACTAATATTATTTTAAATTTAATAAAAACTTTCTATTTTATATTATATCAAATTCTATTATTTTTATATTATTTAAAAAAAATTTAAAAATTAATTGATTTTATATTATTTTTTATAGTTATTACTACTGATTTATTATATGATAAACAAATGAGAGATAGATAATAAAACTCAGTAATAAGTATAATTCTATCAACACTTCATAATCTTTAAGTAATTAAAAATGATGATTTAGTTTCTACTAATGTATTTATTGTTATAAAATATAATTTTAATCATGGTTCAAAAAATAAAATAATCACAATTTTGCAAGATCTGAAGTTATCAAAGTTTTTAATAAAATAAATCATTTATTTTATAATTTAAAAAAATATACAGCTTCTAATTAATATACTAAAATAGAAAAAAAATTAATATTGAAGTAGAAGTTTTATAAAAATTCTCAATTTTACTTATTTTATTTGTTATATATGCCTTTGATCATTTAAAAATAAAAATGTATAAGGGGTTGAACCCCTAGATTCGCTCTGGCTGGCTGACTCAGCCTAGCCATCGTTTGCACGTGCGCACGTGATCATGCTACGCGAGCTTGCTTAAGCTCAAGTTCTCATCTCATTCTTTTCTTCCCTTTCTCAAGCAATTCATCCTTGTTATATAGGAGGACTAGCCTCTAGTTCTTAGAGCTTAACCCTTTACATTACGAATTGCTTCACTCCTTTCATTGATAGGCCACTGGGAGCCTTAATTCTGTATCATGAAGCTCAGCAAATGTGCTGACATATGATAGGCTATTGGGAGCCTTAAATCCTGCATCACAAAGTTCAGTGATAGCACTGGTATATGAATAGACTGGGTTAGCAATTGTGCTAACAAATGAATGAGCAACATTGAAAATGTCTAGCTGAATGAGATAAAGCAGCAGACTTGTACAACAAATACACAAATGGATCAATGCAAAGCAATGAGCAGGGACGCCCCCAGCAGCTTCAAACAACAATGGATGGCCTTTCTCCAACAGCAGGAACAGGTCCAGTGTGAGAACAGGGATTTAATAGCAGCTCAGCAAGCTGAAATAGCTAATCTACAACAAGCTTTGAACACTCTCACATCAACCCTCTCTCAATTGAACTCATAACCACTCATTGCAGTCAGAAGATCAAAGACCAAGCTATCAGACTGCAAGAAGTATAATGGTTCTAATCTGAAGCACTACCCTCAGTGAGAGCTAAAGCTTCAATCAAAGCTTAAGGTTGATGAGAAAGCTTTAGGCAATAATGAGAAATGTACTTGATATGTGTACTCAAAACTGGAAGAAATGGCAGCAGCTTGAGTTTACCCCTAGGTTGAGAATAATAAGAACAAGATCAACTTCATGATAGAGAGCTTACTGGAGCAGACACACATGTTTTTTAGTGATTCTGCATGACAGAAAAAGACTATGCAAAAGCTCAACAATCTATAATAGAGTAGAAGAGCTCTCTTTGACTTTCTACTCAAATTTAATCAGCTACTGCTGGAAGCTGACAGTCACAGATGAGATGATCACATTAAAAAGAGGTATTTAAAATCCACTCTAAGCATGGAGCTGAGAGAAGGCATGGTGGGTGTAAAAGAACCATCTCTCTATGAGAATTACTGCAAGAAGCTTAGATTAGTTGATCATCAACTCTCTGAGCTTAAGACTTTAAGACAGTGATCTAAATGTTGTGAGAGCAAATCTTCTTCAGATCATATAATGTCTAATTCACACTCTCTACTTTGTCATGCTGTTCTCAATTGATGAAATCAGTCTCAAGCTTCTGCTGATGATCTGATGAATCTCTCTTCTGATGCTGTGATCTCAAGCACTCATCACATTAAATTGATAAATCAGACAGAGGTTAATCAAAGAAAAGAGCAAGATCTGTGTCTGAGATGCAGAGCTGAAGATCATATGATTAAGAGCTGTCTGTTCAAATTTTTCAGATGCTTTGCCACTCTCACAATAGATAAGATGATCTCAGAGCTGGTACTGAATGATGATGATGTGAATATGAGTGAGGATTTGGAAAAAAGAGTAGCTCCAATCAAAAGACACTGGAAGAAATGAAATAAGAAGCTTATGAAGAAGCAATGAAGAGGATTTAAATCTAAAATGATATTCAAACCCTTCACTGTCAATGCTCTAATAGATAATGCCTTTTCAACTAGAGCAATGATAGACAGTGAATGTAATGTCTATGATCTTATTTCTCAATTCTACATTAACAAACATAAGCTTCTGTGCATTGAAATTCCCTCTGTTAAAATGACTGGCTTTGAAGACTTCATGAGACTCTCCACAAGCATAGTGACTGGCATTTTAATTGATATAGGCGTTCACATAACTGAATAAGCCTTTCTCTACATGATGAATGAGTTACATGGTTATGATATGTATCTAGATGACCTCTGGCTGGCCCAGCAAAAGACAACTGTGATCTCTCATTGAAGAATTGTGAGATTTGAAGAGAGTGGCATAGAGGTAGAGTCTAGTTTAAATGCAAAAGCTGATGTGATTCCCATCTCTGTTGTAAGCTTCTCTAGGCTTGCAAGCACTCAAGAGAAGTGAAACATTGAGATCTTCACCATCAGTGTGACTGACATTCAAAAGACTCTAGAAGTGAAATCAAAGATTGACTCTAGAGAAAAGCTGTCTGAACTTTATCATGAGTTTTTGAATGTATTTGATAAGAAAGCCATCAATACTCTATACCCACTTTGTGGCCCAGGTAGAGATCATGGAATTGAACTGATTAAAAAGGCTGATGGTAGTGTGGAACAACCCTCTTGAGGCCCACTATATAATATGTCTCAAGAGAAACTACTGGCTTTGTGAAAGACTCTTACAGATTATCTAGATAAGAGTTTTATTAGAGTGAGCAACTCCCCCACAGCCACCTCTGTACTATTTGTGAAGAAGTCTGAGAATGGGCTAAGATTCTGTGTGGACTATCAAGCTCTTAACAAAATCATCTGAAAGAATTGATATTCTCTATCATTAATCAGTGAGACTCTACAGTAAATTGAACAGACTAAATAATTCACTAAGCTGGACATTATTGCAGCTTTTCACAAAATTCAAATCACAGAAGGTGATGAGTAGATGACAGTCTTTAGAACTAGATATAGACTATTTGAGTGGCTGATTACACTCTTTGATTTGGTCAATGCTCTGAGCACATTTCAAAAATATATCAACTGAGCATTACATGGATATCTGAACAACTTCTGCTCAGTCTATTTAGATGACATCTTGATATTTTCCTCAAGAAGCTTACAGGAGCATTGTAAGCATGTACAAAAGATGCTTATGTGTCTATAAGAAGCAGGCTTGCAGGCAGACATCAGAAAAAGTGAGTTCAAGATGAACAGCATAAAATATCTTGAATTCATCATTGAAGCAGACAAGGATATACAAATAAATCTGAAGAAGATTAAAGCTGTTTTAGAATGAGTGACACCTACTACTCTTAAAGATGTATGAGGATTTTTAAGCTTTGTCAATTTCTATAGATGATTTATCAGAGATTTCTCAAAGATCACAACCTCACTGACAATTCTTACACACAAGAATGTTTCTTTTTTGTGGATGAGCAAGGCTGAGAAAGCTTTTAAGTGTCTAAAATCAATGTT